TTCTTCCCTGTATCGTTAATGATATCAGTCATTCTTCAGAATCGCTTATGCAATAGGGGCACATCGCCTGTCCAAAACCGATCATCTCCATAATGGATATATGTCTGATCTTCTAATTTCCTTTGCTGCATAATGTACATTTCATTTATTCTAGCATTAGGTAAATGTATCTTGAAAGAGAATAGCACTTAAATAAAAGTCAAACAAGGATATTCATTTAGAATTAAAAATAACTCACCCTGAGTTACCATGATAGATATAATGTATGTAATAAAAGTGTGTCAGTAATGAAGGGGAAAAAACTCAATCCAGACTTTAAGCAAATTAAGGGTCTGGTTCACAGAGTATGAAGTTATTTTTCCCCAATTATCAAATGAAAAAAAACAAAACTAACCTCAGTTAAGTAAAATAAAATTATTATCAAAACCTTTGGAATTGTAATGATTTCTTTTTTAAAAACAAAATGTTTTGTTTAAATAACTCTTTTTAAATTAAAAAAAAAAAACCTTTTTAAATTAAATAACTCATTTTTGTCTCATGAACTTAAAGTTATTTGCCAAACAAACTTTTATTTGCACACATCAAAATCTTTTGTTGTGATTTTGGGCCCACGACGTCATGTGAGAATCACAAACAAAACTTTGAGTCACAAACTAAAACTTATTGTAGAAGCCTAAATTCAATTTTAGTTCATTCAGACCTTTAAGATAAATTATGTTTATATTTCTTATGGTAATTTGTTTATTTGGATAAAAATGATTGCAAGTTATATCTCTATTACTAATTTGTTATATTGGCCTTCCTGTAAATTTGCATATTGGAGTTAAGGATTTTAGGGTGTGGCCAGGCAGAATTAGTTGGGCAGTTGGAGTGGAGCCACAAAGTTTTTTGACCGCTCTCTTTCTCTCGCTTAGGACTCTTTTGTTTACTCTATTATTTTTGTGGAAAAGTAACATTTGTACCGTTTTTATTTTTGAAGTAAACCGTTCACCTTTATCAAGAGGACCCAGTCTGGTTTTTTGTCGTTTTCGTCATCGAGTGGACCGAAGGGGAAGGACGGAGAGCGTCAAGCTTATGGCTTCATTGTTTAGGAACCTACACTTAGAATAGCAAGAAAAGATTTATGACATGCACCAATAAGTTTGTTTTGCAGAAAAAAATAATAATTCACTTCATGAGACAAAAGTGTTTGATTTTAATTTTAATAAAAGTTTTTTAAGCAAAACTCAGTAGGCTTTTCTCATGGTGACATGCATTAAAAATTTAATATTTGCTTTTGTTTTTTTTTTTTGTTTTTTTTGCAGTTCCACGTTAAAGTTTGATGCAGCTCTGCTTTCCTGAATGGACCATCTCCATCTCCACTCCAAGTGTAGCAAACAGGCAGCTCACACAGTTTTTCTGTTAAATAATTTTAACGCACCAGTTTCATTGAAATATTAGCACAGTTGTACAATTTTAACATTACTATTGACAAAATAAATTACGTGACATTCGACAAGATTCATGACTTGGCAACCTGGCATTTGGTTTGTATTATTACTGTTAATAACCGATTAACAACCTGATGTTTTGTCTTATTTTCTGTAATACAAAATAAACCTTCTGAATAGAAGTATTTCCATGACTTTTATATAAATAAAATTCTTCATTAACGCTTAGGATGAATGAGTTATGAAGGAAAGACATTTAGAAAACCGGGCATAAAGCCACTGTTTGAATGGAGAGGATGAGGTTTGGCTGGGCCTGGAGCCCTCTAGTGGCTCAATGCGGTATTGAATTTTTATACCAGCATTTTATAAAAACGTCCCAGACGTTCAGCAACGCAAACTTTCTCCATAAAGAACAAAAACAGAGATTTTGTTCAACATCATAATCATCATAAAGGTGTAAAAGATACTGAATGTAAAGTTGCCTTTGTTGTAACTACCGTTAAGGATATATGCTTTTATTTTGGTGTCTCATGTGTTACGGTAGCTATGGTAACGGAACGGCGTTCCAACTGAATAGGTTAAAAGTTAGCAAAACAAAAAAGAAATGCTAAAAAGCAACCCAGTTTTAGCTTCAGTCGGTAAGGGAACAATGTGAGTAAGTTGAAATACTAATAGAAAAGTCTGTGATTGCTGTTAATGTAAATAATTGTACTCATGCAATGAGCTACGCACAACAACAGATGGTGAAAACTGTTACTTGTTCCTGTCGGCTTTAATAAATCACAATTTAACCATCAGTTATGGCCTTCTCCAAATCGGCTGGATGCCACACGAAATACAATTACAGCAAAAACATTTCTTCCACAGTGAGTGAATATTCAGAGAGAACAATCAGACAACATTTTGAAAAGATCGGTTTCGAATATTCGAATTTCAGACAATGTTGACCGATCTGAATATTGCCTTGCTAGCTGGGTCGTAGCTTTTTTTTTCTTTTTTTTTCATCAAACAAAACTGATCTGTGACGGCTGATGACGTAATTCTCCGCCTTTTGTCTGCAGCGATTGTGATGTCATAGTTGAGATTCTTAGTGCATCGTTTTATTCTCTTCAGATATTCCAGACATCACAGGAATGAGGATTTGTGCAGATTTCAAGTTTGACCCTTGAAGTTTTCAGGAAATACCAACAAGACACCCAAGCTAACAGAATAATAATAATAATAATAATTATATTATTCTTGTTTATAAAGCGTTTTTAAACCAACTGGTGAGAGATTGCCAAAGTATTTTCAGAAGCTTCTGGGTTTTTTTCTTCCAACAGTATGGGACAAGTATTTGGCTTGAACAAGTACAAGAGGGTAAAGAAGACGAAGAAAGTGGACTTTATGGAGGAGTACGTTAGGCAGCAGTTTCGTGGACATGACCCCCCTGAAAATAATTACGGCACACTAGTAGAACTTAACATGAGATCAATTCGACAGAAAGGTGAGGTTGATGATAAGATTTTAGGTAAAGAATCTCGGAGTTCCAGTGCGGTGTACTTTTTAAAGGACTTCCTTATAAAACATGACCTGGACTTTCATGTGGAGCCGATTGTGGGTCCGTGCACTGAAAGGGAGATTGAAAGAATAAAAGCCCGCAAAGTTAAACTGGAAATGGGGGAACGAAAGGAACCTATAACAGAAAAGCAGGTCGAACAGAAAGCTTTGGAAAAACCACCATCTGTTAAAAGTGAAACTTGTACTCTCCAAAAGCTCCTGTTAGATGTGCAAGCATCACTTGACGCAGATGAGAAAGCCTGGGTGGATTTTGAACAGCAAATGTACAGGACAATGGAAGAAATGAACATGGAGCTAAAACAGAATTTTGATCTGCTGAAAAGGATTAATCAGGCCTTTGAATCCACAGACGACACTAAAAATCAAACTTCTGGCAGGAAAACACCTCAGGAGACTGAACAACCAGAACCCCCAACCCGAAAGCTCTCTGTGACACCTCACAGGGTAAAAATGTACTGCTTGTCACCCTCTTTATTGCAACTTACTCGAAGAATGGATGAAGTGGACTGGGTGCGAAAAGAGGCTGCCATGAGGTTTAGAAGGCGGAATGAGTTCATTGATACAACAGATGAATTCCTGGGGATAGAAGAAAAATGTTTCTATTCCAGAGAACATGAGGAACGTAAAGCTCTTCAAGAAAGGCTTGAGTTGGAAAGAGAGGCAGTAGAACGAGCAAAGATACAGAGATTAGCTCACAGACAATCAACTCCGGATATTATGGTACCAGAGGGGTTGAGGAAATCACAGTCTTTTGAGAACATTGCAGCAAAAGTCGGAGGGGGCCTGAAGAAAGATGGCGAATGATTCGAAAAAAAGCCTTGACAGAACCAGAGACACATGCAAGGACAATACTATCAGATAGGGAGCCTTAAAAGGGCTGTAGTGTTGGAGGAGCTTGGAGACCACAGGGCTGCAGGAGTGAAGGAGCTAGGAGTCTGTGGGGCTGTGGCGCTAGGAGTCTGCGCCACAGCCCCACAGCTCCAAGGCTGGCTGTGAACACCGAAGTGATTGGAGCCTGGGGGGGCTGTGGGCACCGAGGGGCTTGGAGCCTTGGAGGCTTTAGGCTCTGAGGTGCTTGGAGCCTGGGGGGGCTGTGGGCACCGAGGGGCTTGGAGCCTTGGAGGCTGTGGGCTCTGAGGTGCTTGGAGCCTGGGGGGGCTGCGGGCATCAAAGTGCTCGGAGCCTGGGGGGCTTTGGTCACCGAGGTGCTCAGAGCTTGGGGGGCTGTGGCAACCAGAAGCTAGGAGCCTGCGGGGCCGTGACGACTGAGGAGCTTAGAGCCCGCTGGTTTCTAAGCTCGTCCTACGCCCAATATTCAGGCCTGATAGCTAGTTTCTAGTTGTAATAAAAGAATTAACAGCAAAATCCAATGCTCTTATTCTGTATGACCCGTCTTATAAAACTGTAAAAAAAAAACTAAATTTAATTTTCTTTTTACTTTTACTGCATTAAATGTTTTCAACAGCTTCAGACCTATCCACAGCTTTAGAGTGTTTTTCTTTCATGGCTGTCTTTCATTCATTTTTGGAATAAAATCAATGTGTTTTTTTTTTTTGCTACTTTTGTCATTTTGATTCAAAATAATGTTTTGTATAATACTTTCTACTGTGTTTTATTTCACACAAGAGTTATTTCATGTTTGAAATATTTTCATTTTTCACTTTTTTAAGCATTTTTAGAACAATTTGTAGAACATTTGTGACAATTTGTAGAACATTTTTAAAACAAAATGCCAACAACAGCAATTTTACAACAACAATGATGGAATGTCAATAATGGACAAATAATGGACAATGTCAGCATCCATTATGTGTGTGTGGGTGTGTGTGTGGGCATGGGATGAGTGGGGGGGTGTGAAAGAGCACGTTTCTTGAAACTAGCTAGCTAACCAAGCTAGCTAACATTACTGTCTCTATTCTATTATGTTGTGTGTATCACGCATGTGAGTGTGTGTATGTGTGTGCATTTATCCATCCATCCATCCATCCATCCATCCATCCATCCATCCATCCATCCATCCATCTTCTTCAGTTTATCTGGGGTCGGGTCGCGGGGTCAGCAGTCTAAGTAAGGAGGCTCAGAGTTCGCTCTCCCCAGCTACTTGTTCCAGCTTCTCCTTGGGAAATCCCAAAGTGTTCCCAGGGCAGCTCAGAAACATCATCAGCGTGTCCTGGGTCTTCCCTGAGTCTCCTCCCGGTGGGAGATGCTCAGAACACCTCACCAGAGAGGCGTCCAGGAGGCATCTGTCCAGAAGCTCCTCTTGACGTGAAGGAGCAGCGGCTCTATCTCTAAGGGAGAGCCCAGACACCCTACGGAGGAAACTCATATCGGCCGCTTGTAGCTGTGACCTCATTCTTTCGAGATCACGGATACCTTCCAAATGTCATGACCATAGATGAGGGTAGGAACGTAGTTCAACCGGCAAATCAGGAGTTTCGCTTTTTGGCTCAGCTCTCTCTTCACCAGGACAGACCGGTGCAGCACCGCTTCACTGCAGACGCTGCGTCAATCCGCCTGTTGATCTCCTGCTCCATTTTTCCCACAGTGGTGAACAAGATCCCCAGATACTTAAACTCCTCCACTTGGGACAGGACATCCTCCCCGACCCAGAGAAGCCCCGCTATACTTTTCCAGCTCATTTATTTATGCATTTATTTATATAGCTATGAATTTTTTATTTTATTTATTGAGATGATAAAAGAACAAAACCTAGAACTCAACAGGTTTTGTATGTCATTCAACACATTTTCTCTTTTGGTTTTCTCATCCAGTATGTCAGACACACACAGAGACACACACACAAATAATACACATGTACAATAAAGTATAGGTGGTAATGTTAGCCAGTTGGTTAGATAACTAGTGTTAGCTAACTTTGAAGAAGGGTAATATGTATTTGTGACAATAACGCTGTCACAATACGCATGATTGACACACACACACACACACACACACACACAAACACACATACACACACACACACACACATTTGTGAGATAAAAAAATAAAGATAATACTTATATGTAAGAGTTCTTGCTGTGTAAAATATTATTACTCAGAGGTGACACTAAGGATTCAGTGTGTTTGTTCACAAAATATGTTTTCCTGACAGTCACAGCTGGTAAGAAACAAAGATTCCCATCAAATTCCATAGGAAATGAATGCGGGTCATTTTGGACCCTCTCACGAAAGAATGGGGAAGTGATATAAAACATGCTATTTCTTAAAATGTATAAAAGGTAAATTAAAAATTTGAATTGCATGATATCAATAACATGTTTCTTGAGGAATACCTGGAATATGAAGTGATGAAAACTTTTCATTACAAAGATATTGCAAAAAGATGACCTCACCGGGGCCAAAATGACCCACTTATGAATCAGAGGGTTAAAAGCAAGAAGAAAGTGTGTCATTCTCATCATTTTATGGTGAATTATTGTCATGATCAGCAGTCAAAAGGTTAACTTTTCACATAAAAACGCTAGCATCGCTCTTAGCCAATGAGGTGCTGCCAAATGACGCAACGTCCCGCCCACCACGTCCCTCTCAGAGCGCAGGCCTTCCTTTTTTCTTCGGCTGCTATTTCAGTGTTGTTCACGCTAACTGAACGAAGAAGACCGAAAAATCACAGAAAAGGGTACAAAAACGATATAAAATCAATAGTTAGCGAACTTTGTTAAAGCTAAACATGATTTTAAGCCCGTTTAGTGGTAGAACGATGCGCTAAGTTCACAAATATTAACTAGTTCGGTTCTGTGTACCTAATGGAGGCGGCGCCATTTTGTGCTGCTTCGCTGTCCTCTTGTGAGATTGGTGAGCAAATTATTTTTGCCTGTTCGTGATTTATTTCCACTTTTGTAAGTTTGTTGTGAGTAATATTTTTCCAACATGGATTGAAGAAATCCTTTACAATATTTTGTTGAAAACTATATGTTATGTTAAGGTTTTGTTGTAAATGTTTGATCGGATTAGTGAAATGCAAAATTGATTTTGATATCAAAAGAGTTTTATTTTGAAGTGAAACTTGATCTGTATTATCAGAAAGGTGTAACCAGGAAAGATTTGAAAGTGAAACAAAATAGTCTGAGCCTTTTTTATTTCACTGTATTTAGCCAAACCTTCTAATCTAAATTATTTATGTTGTTGTGTTATGTTTTGGTAAACTAATTCCTGGGTTGAGCACTGTTAAGTAGCTTGAGTGTTACAAGTGGCATTTATCATCTGGTTCAACTGGTTTACAGTGAAGCTGTTTGACCAAAAGATGCTCACTTCTCTGTCTTTCTGTGACTCTTTTAGTCTCTGCATCTCTGTTGAAACCTGCTGATGACGCTTGAAGCTCAGAGGCCTCTTCCGTCTGACAACTTCCTGTTTAAAGCTTCACAACACCAAGGTACCGTTGATCTGTTGTTGGGTTCGTCTTGGTCTCGTGTCAGAATGTGAACAGTGTGATGAGGAGGGCGATTTAAATACCAGTTCTTATTGGACTGGTATTTCAGTCCAATAACCTGTCCAATTGTAATTTAACTTATAAATCAATGTAGACAACTCCTCTTTTAAAAAGAATCAAAGTAATGGATTAAAACATCAGATGGTTACCACAAATCTTCTATGATGTACTTTAAACTTGCTTAGTTTATTTTTTAAGCAAAACAAATTGTGCTTACAAAGTTTTGAAACTGAGTCTTCTGTGTTTTTTGATACATTTTATTCCTTTTTCTGAAAAATCTTATCTGGCAAAGCTTTAATAACCTATGGTGATCATTGTAAAGAAACAACAAACCAACTTATAGTAAATGTTTCGTAAGTTGAAAGCAGTGCAGAAGCTGAAGAGTACCTGAGAAACACACTCAGTTGGCCATTTCTTTGGGAGCTTTCTATAAAATAATTTTAAAAAATCATGAAAGAAATGACAGAAAAGAGAACAAGATTAAATAAGCAAACACAATTGTCATTTAAGTTATCTTAGAAAAATTTTATCTAAAGATGATTATGAAATCTTATTTTCCTGATTACAGAAATTACAGCAACACTTTTGCATCTTGTTTTATGCTTATGTTTTTTAAAGTTACATTTTAAGTAACATTTCAAATGTTGGAAATTAATATGTACAAACTACAATCCTTCGAGCACCAACAACTAAAATTCTGTTGTCGTCTTCCCGGTTTTTACCAACTCAACTCCCTTGTCTGCTCCTCTATTGGATCCCAATCCCTTCCATAAAACCTCTAAATTGTGTCGTCGTTTGGACCTGAAGCTCTTTTACTGTAGTACCTGGCGGTTCCACCAGAGCTGCTGGATCTATGTCTGCCGAAGCAGCAGAGCAGAACTCCAGTCAGGATCAGTATCACACCAGCTGCCCAGCCGATAAAGATGCTAGCTCCCAGCTCTATCTTCTGCCCTATTAGTAGGGGGTTGTAGAAATCTCTTATGATGGTATGCGCCGACCAGCTGACCGGGATGATCACCAGCAGGCACTAATCTATAGTTACCTGTGAGGTCACAATGTTTGCTCCTATGAAGGCCGTCACTTTCCATTGAGGGAGGGCACAACAAGTGATGACCCCAATCAGGCCGATGACCCCGAGGGTCACGCATACAATCTGAGCTGCTTTTGATGCCATTCTGCAAACACTAAAAACCAGAAATCAAATAGTTAAAGACGTTTCTGCAATATATTCTTGGTATTCTTCCGACTTTGGTGCCAGTCATCAATCCGTTGTCTTCCTCTTTTCCTGGGGCGACAGGAAACACCAGCAGAATCTAAAAGGTTTCCTGATGCTCAGGGTAATTATTAAAGGTACTTTAGATCAAATTCAGAAGTCGGGCCAGCGCTTGATTATCAGGAATTAATAGCCAAACACATGGGTGTTGCAATAATTATATGTGAAGATGTTTCCACCTCACATTTGAGAAACATTTCTTTTGTCACCCCCACATTTACAA